GGGAGGTTGTGGATGTCCCAAGGAGGTTGTGGATGCTCCAAGGACGTTGTGGGTGCCCCAAGGAGGTTGTGGATGCTCCAAGGACGTTGTGGGTGCCCCAAGGAGGTTCTGGTTGCCCCAAGGAGGTTGTGGGTGCCCCAAGGAGGCTGTGGGTGCCCCAGGGAGAGGCTGTGTCTGTCCCAAGGGAGAACATACCCAGGCCCTTTCCCACAGCTCCTCCCTCCCTGGCTAAGGGCAGAGATAACATCACATTTCAGGAGAGTTTCCCTGTGCCAAGAGCCAGGAAAAGCCATTCCCAAAATAGCTCCTGAGCCGCCTGCACTTGGCAGGGCCCAACCTGCTGCAAACAGCAGGGGGAGAAAACAAAAAGAAAGCAGAAAATAAAAAAAAAGCTCTTTTCCTCCTCTCCATCCTCCCAAATTCACCACTCAGGCCAACCCTGAGCTCCTCTTTCTCCTCTCCCACCCCAAGGACCTTCACCTCCTCATGGACCAACTCTGACACCATCCAAGCCCTGATGGATTCACTCCCACACTCATCCCTGGATTCACTGAGTCTCTGAGTCATCAAATCCCTTTCCCTGCTCCTTTTGGAGGGGGAAAATCCTCATCCCACAGCGTGGTCTGCTCTGAGCAGCTCAGGGGGAATGAGGAGGTTTTTCCTCCCCTCTGAGGAGGATGAGGAAGCTCAGGGTGGAGATCAGAGAGGCAAAGGGCAGGAAAAATCCCTTCCCTCTCCTGTAAATCCTCCCTGGAAGTTTCTTGGCATGGGAAGAGCAGCCAGGGCTGGAGTTTGGTGCAGGGAGGGCACTGAGCTGGTGCTGGGGATGTGCTTTGGGGCTTGCTGCTCAGCACTGTGGGCAGCCCAGAGACAGGGCCAGGGCACCACTGGGCACAGGGCACCACCAGTTACAGAGCATCACTGGACACAGGGCACCACCAGTTCCAGGGCATCACTGGGCACAGGGCACCACCAGTTCCAGAACATCACTGGGCACAGGGCACCACCAGTCCCAGAGCATCA